CAGCTACTGCTCCTCTCCTCCCGGTGCTCAGCAGACCCTACACAAAGCAGGAACTCAATGCACAATGATGGAGAGAGGGTGATTAATTGACGTGAGGGTGGGTGGAGCAAGAGGTCCCAGGTCTTGTGCTTGGCACGGACTCTTGTGTTGTGCCTCTGCCGGTGTGTGTGCTACAGAGCTGAGCTGACACTGGGATCACCTACAATGAGTCTCTGTGTCAGGAGGTAGCCATGGAAACTCACTCCCTTCCTAAGCTGATGAGGGGACAATTAGGTAGAAAGGAGGAATCAAGTTAATTGCCTGTCATCCCTCTCTGCTCTCTGCATATTGATTCAAATTAAGCTTTTTTAGTTTTCTAATGTCAGCAGATACTGAATGATCGGAGCACAGGCCTGGTAGTCAGGACCTCCAGGAAACAGCCAGTCCTAAGTGTACCCCTTAACCTTTCTGCCTCTCTGTGTAGTTCTGACCCAAGCATTCAGGAAAACAAATCTCTTTGCCTGACCTCCCTTGATTTCTGACTTAAAGTCTCAGAACTGCCTTAATTTTAACCATCTCTGATTCCACATCCATTCAACTAGCCATTCCTCCTCTTTTAGAGTGAGGAATTAAAATTAAATTCTACATTTGTTGAAATTCAGTGTTGCTCAGAGAGAAGCAGTTAAATAAATCAGCACTGGATGTTCTGTGGTGTGGCAGAGGTGGGCACATGAAGGGCCGAGGAGGCAAGATCTAGAGGTCATCTGCAAGAAGTATCACCATTGGCTCAGCTGGCACCTGAGCAGAGTTGGAGGAGGTCTTTAAAAATGAGGGCTTTTCCTTTCCCACCCTATCCCTAGGGCCTCTTCTCTACAGCCAGATGGAATTATTCGAAATTTCTTGCATGTTCCTTGCTTCTTATCTTTAGCTTTTCCGGGGTCTACTCTGCCTGGAATACCCTTCTCATTTTTTTGTTTTTTATTATGTCTCAATCCTGACCGTACTTGTCCAAGAAGCCTTCTCTAGGATGAATATCAGGCTTCCAAACACCATGAATATTCTTTATTGTCAGCAACAAGCAGCTCCATCACTACACACATATATTCTACCTTTCTGTTAGACTTTAAGTTTCTGAGGACAGGGACTGTGTTTTCCTTGTTGAAGTTCCCCAGCATCAGCACAGTCCCTGGTGCATGGAAGGTGATCAATAAATATTTATTGAATAACTGATTGATTTAGTATTCTTGGGATACTTCACTTAGTAGAATGGGTTCCAGCTCTATCCAGGAAAATACAAGAGGTGCTATATCACCATTGTTTCTTAAAGCTGAGTAGTACTCCATGGTATACATATACCACATTTTATTAATCCACTCATGTATTGATGGGCAGTTGGGTTGTTTCCACATCTTTGCAATTGTGAACTGTGCTGCTATAAACATTCGAGTGCAGGTGTCTTTTTTATAAAGTATCTTTTGTTCTTTCAAGTAGATGTCCATTAATGGGATTGCTGGATCAAATGGTAGATCTACTTGTATCGCTTTAAGATATCTCCATATTGCTTTCCACAGAGGTTGACCTAGTTTGCAGTCCCACCAGCAGTGTAAGAGTGTTCCTATCTCTCTGCATCCACGCCAACATTTATTGTTTTGGGACTTGTTAATAAAGGCCATTCTCACTGGAAATAAGTGATATCTCATTGTGGTTTTGATTTGCATTTCCCTGATGATTAGGGATGTTGAGCATTTTTTCATGTGTTGGTTGGCCATTATTCTGTCTTCTTTTGAAAAGTTTCTGTTCACGTCCTTTGCCAACTTTTTTTTGATGGGTCTGTTGGATTTTCTTTTTTTTTTTTTTTTTTGTTTTTTTTTTTTTTATCTTATATTTATTTTTTTTTTTCTTTTTTTTTTTTTTTTATTTTTTTTTTTTTTATTTTTTTTTTTTTTTTTTATTTTTTTATTTTTTCTTTTTTTTCTTTCTTTTTCTATTTTTTTTTTTTTTTTTTTTTTTTTTTTTTTTGATGTTTTGTTTTTTTTTTTTTTTTTGTTGGATGTTTTTTTTTTGATGGGGTTGTTTGAATTTTTCTTGCTGATTTTCCTGAGTTCTAAATAGATTCTAGTTATCAGATAGGGCATATTTCTTAACCTCCTTAACCTCCTTTCTTAACCTCTGCCTCAGTTTCTTCCATCTATAAAATGGAGTTTATCATCCCTAAGCTTCTCATAGAGGTTGAATATGTGATGTAAAGAAAGGAAACTTTCTTCTTATTATTTTTTTTTGAGACAAAGTCTTACTCTGTTGCCTGGGGTGGGGTGCAGTGGTACAATCATAACTCACTGCAGCCTTGAACTCCTGGGCTCAAGTGATCCTCCTGCCCCAGCCTCCTGATTAGCTGGGACTACAGGTGTGCACCACCATTCCTGGCTAATTTTTTGCATTTTTTTTTTTTGAGATGAGGTTTCACTATGTTGCCCAGGCTATAGAATTCTGATTTTGATGTGAAATTCTATGATCTTTTACCCCACCATCTCACCTGTTTTCTGTTTATTTTGCATGGGAAAACTTTTATTTTTACTTTTGCAGATTTTAATTGTCTCAAGATCGAGCTTTGCTTATACAATAAACCTATTGACCTAGCTGGTACAAGGTATAGGAACTAGTGGGCAGACAGAATTTTCCTACTGCACTACAATATAAACATTATTATAGACATTTAAAAAATTCTGGCATTAAAAGCATTCAGGAGTAACAGGTAAGTAAATCACTGGGAGTGTATATATTTACTAATTATATACTTAAGGGTTAGAGGAATACATATAGGGCAAGGGAGGCCTTGAATTCCTTATAAAGTTCTTGTGCATTTTAAAGTTTTAAGAGCATTGCAGCAGGTATCTGTCATGTCTATACACTAACAGCTCTTTTTTTTTTTTTTGAGATAGAGTCTCACTCTTTTGCCTGGGCTAGAGTGCTGTGGCATCAGTCTAGTTCACAGCAGCCTCAAACTCCTGGACTTAAGTAATCCTTCTGCCTCAGCCTCCTGAGGAGCTAGGACTACAGGCCTGTGCCACCATGCCTGGCTAATTTTTTCTATATGTTTTTAGTTGTCCAGCTAATTTCTTTCTATGTTTTTAAGTAGAGACAGGGTCTCACTCTTGCTCAGGCTGGTCTTAAATTCCTGAGCTCAAACGATCTGCCTGCCTCAGCCTCCCAGAGTGCTAGGATTACAGGCATGAGCCACCACACCCAGCCTCTAACAGCTCTTAAAAGTAAATTTATTGAAGTTCAGGATGATATTTCATAAATTATCTATACTTTTACCATGATTCAGCAATCAGTAAAAAATAGCTTCTGTGGGTCAGAAGGTAAATGGTGAGGATATTCAAGTTCCTTCTAAATGTAATTTTAAATGACATTTACAAATTATTTCTATTATACCTTTAATGTTTTTTTTTTTTTTTCTTTTTGAGACAGAGTCTCACTTTCTTGCCCAGGCTAGAGTGAGTGCCGTGGCGTCAGCCTGGCTCACAGCAACCTCAATCTCCTGGGCTCAGCGATCCTACTGCCTCAGCCTCCCTAGTAGCTGGGACTACAGGCATGCGCCACCATGCCCAGCTAATTTTTTTTTTTATATATATATTTTTAGTTAGTCAATTAATTTCTTTCTATATTTTGGTAGAGACGGGGTCTTGCTCAGGCTGGTTTTGAACTGCTGACCTCGAGCAATCCGCCTGCCTCGGCCTCCCAGAGTGCTAGGATTACAGGCGTGAGCCACTGCGCCCGGCCTATACCTTTAATGTTAGTTGTTGGAGTGGTGATGTTTAGGATCTGTCCTAGGACTTTATACAGATTGTCCATATGATGGCTTTGGGCAGCCACCTGGCCTGGTGCTCTCAGTTCTGAGATTATCTAGCAGCCTACATGGTTGTCTACCACCTTCTGACAAGTACATGTGCAAACATAGGAGCAGGCAGCGAGCGCCTTGAGGACAGGGAGCTTTCTTATTTATTCTTACATAATCAGAACTCGAAGAAGTGACTGGCACTTTGCAGACACTACTTAGTGAGCCTCAGGGTCTGAAAGTACAGTCATGCATCACTTAAAGATGGGGATTCATTCTGAGAAATTCGTAGTTATGATGTTTCATTGTTGTGCAAACATCATAGAGTGTACTTACACTAACCTAGATGGTAGGACCCACTACACACCCAGGCTACATGGTATAGCCTATTGCTCCTAAGCTACAAACCTGTACGGCATGTTACTGTACTGAATAGGCAACTGTAACACAGTGGTAAGTATGCGTCTAATGATATCTTAAACAGAAAAGGTACAGTAAAAATGTGGTATAAAAGATAAAAAATGGTACACCTGTATAGGGCGCTTACCACGAACAGGGCTTGCAGGACTGAAAATTTCTCTAGGTGAGTCAGTGAATAAGTGGTGAGTGAATGTGAGGGCCTAGGACATTACTGTATGCTATCATACACTTTATAAGCACTATCCACTTAGGCTATACTAAATTTATTAAACATTTTTTTCCTCCCATAATAAATTAATTATAGCTTACTGTAACCTTTTTACTTTACAAACTTTTAAATTTTTTTAACTTCTTGACTCTTTTATAAGAACAACTTAAGACACAAACACATTGTACAGCTGTACAAAAATATTTTCTTTCTTTATGTCATTATTGTATAAGCTTTTTTCTATTTAAAAATTTTTTATTTTATTTTTTCCTTCTTAAACTTTTTTTGTTAACAATTAAGACATAAACAGACACATTAGCCTAGGCCTACACAGGGTCAGGATCGTCAACAGCACCGTCTTCCATCTCTACATCTTGTCCTACTGGAACGAATGTCTTCGGGGCAGTGACACACACGGAGCTGTCATCTGTTATGGCAGTGACGCCTTCTTCTGGAATACTTCCTGAAGGAACTACCCGAGGCTGTTTTATAGTTAACTTTTTTTATAAGTAGAAGAAGCATACTCAAAAAGTATAGTAAATACATAAACCAGTAACATAGTCATTTATTATCCAGTATTATGTACTGTACATAATCGTATACATTTATATGACTGGCATCGTAGTAGGTTTGTTTACACAAGCATCACCACAGACTCGTGAGTAATGCATTGTGCTATAACGTTATAATGGCTATGACGTCACTAGGCGATAGGAATTTTTCAGCTCTTATAATCTAATGGGACCACCATTGTATATGTGGTGTGTCGTTGACCAAAATGTCATTATGCGGCACATGACTATATTGGGTCTCTGTTCAGCAGGAAAATGGAGATACCCCGGGTAGGAAAATTTCATAGTGTTATGAAAAACACATCTATGGCATCTATAGATGTGAAAAACACATCTATAACACACTTTATAGTGTTATGAAAAACACATCTAAACCATCTATGGCATCTATGGTTCACATCTTCTCAACCACAAGGTCCAACAGTGATACTACAGTGGGAATTGTCATCTCTTCTGCAGTTAGCATCCCCATCTTGAATGACTCTGGAAGTTGACTCTGAGACTGCCTCAAGAGAGGAAGGGAATGGAATCAAAGTGACTGAGCTAGACCTAAAAGATCAGGTTAGCAAGGTCTGAAACAAAGCTCTGGTCCCAATGTGGGACAGTGTTCCCCTTGGGGTGAGGAATTCACCTCATCAAATGTAGCCAATTGGATTCTACAGCAAGGTGGACGTTTCGGCCTTGTCATTCATATATCCAGATACAGTGAAGGAAAGGAATGATCAAGAGGGAATGGGCCCACAAAAGCACAAGGTTAGCATGACAGTTAATTAGAGGTTTGAAAGAAGAGAGATTGGTTGTTCTGTAAGATGGTTTACTGGCTGAGATTTCAAGGATCCCTGGCAAGTTAAGAATGATGAGCTCTGTTCATTTTTCCTTCACTGTAATGAATCATGCCTCCAATGACAATTTTGCGTGAGTCATGTTTTATCAGCTCCTTTCTGAATTATTGCTTATCACTCAGGGGCTCCCCAGCCGTTTGAAGACTGTCAGAACGAAGTCAGGTTTTAGCTGGGGAGGTAGAACATTCTGTTTAGGAAGAAGCTTTCGGTTACCTCGGCCACTCGGGGACGTCCTGGCTCCAGGAATCTTCTTCCTAGCACATGCCAGAGGACATCACAGTCTTTCTGAGCAGGCTCTGGCCAGCGGCCCCAGAGCCTGGCAGCTAGAAATGGGGACGGGGAATATTCCTGCCTCTCCTCCTTCAGCAAGAGAGGATCTTGAGGAAGGCTTTGCGGAACTCGACATTGAAGGTGGTATAGATCACGGGGTTGAGGGCGCTGTTCACGTAGCCCAGCCACGTTGTGGCGCTGTAAAGCTCTGCAGACACGTGGCATGCTTGGCAGTGGGTATTGAGAATGTGAGTCAAGAAGAAGGGCAGCCAGCAGACAAGGAAGGCCCCTAGGTTGCAAAGGAAGAGAGAAACTAGGTAAGGGATTTGCTTACTCCTTTCATTATGACATGAGAATGACTCATGCTCGTCTACTTTATGCCAGCCACTATGCTGGAAGTTTTACATGCCCATTTACTTTTTATTAATATAACAACCCTATGAATTAGGAGTGATGAGCCAAACTTGTTTTTAGATGAGAAAATTGCCTGCTAATGTCTCTGCTTCCCCTCAGGCCTTTGTTACCAAACCAATTTTCCAGTTTGGTCTTTGGGTAGTTTTTTTTTTTTTTTGAGACGGAGTCTCACTTTGTTGCCCAGGCTAGAGTGAGTGCCGTGGCATCAGCCTAGCTCACAGCAACCTCAAACTCCTGGGCTCAAGCGATCCTTCTGTCTCAGCCTCCCAAGTAGCTGGGACTACAGGCATGCGCCACCATGCCCGGCTAATTTTTTCTGTATATTTTTAGTTGTCCGGCTAATTTCTTTCTATTTTTAGTAGACACAGGGTCTCACTCTTGCTCAGGCTGGTCTTGAACTCCTGAGCTCAAGCGATTCTCCCGCCTCGGCCTCCCAGAGTGCTAGATTGCAGGCGTGAGCCTTTGGGTAGTTTTTTACTAGGTTTTTTTCTTTTACCTTTTCAGTTCAATTCAGACATTTATTTAATGTCTACCCATGGAAGATGTGATCCTAGACTCTGATAGAGAAGAAGACCTTAAAGATGTGAGTTACACAGTTCTTGCTGTTGAGATTACATCTAGGAGTTTTAGTAAAATTTCTGATATATGAAAAAGTTAGGGTTTGTCAGTGACACTGAACAGAATGAACTTCCTTCATTAATTATGTGGTACCTGTGATTTATAAATTTTTAATTTCTTTATTTAAATGAAGTTTATATTTTCCTGCTATAAAAATTAGCTCTGATTGTATGCATTATGGAAAACTTGGTAAATACAGAAAATTGGAAGTAGGGAAATTACCCCTCCCTTCTTCAAGGCCATTCGTTTTTGCCTTTTTGTTGACTTTTTTCTTTTTTATTTAAATGGTTTTGGTTTTTTTCCTCCCTTTTCCCGTTGTTTTTTTGCTTTCTTTTTTTTTTACTTCATATTTCAAAATATATAAGCAGTAATTAAATATCCAATATATGCCAGACACTTTTATTGAATCATTGTCTTATTATTTGATTCATGCATTATAACTCCATATGATACAGAGAAAAATATAGTTCAATTAGGTGGCTTGTTCAGCTTTGTAAATTTCAATCTAGGTCTTTTGAATTTCTATCAGAGTTAATATTTATACACAAAGCAAAAAATATTTTTATAAAAATATTTATGTACAGAGTTAATATTTATACGCAAAATGTTTACATTGTAAACATTTTATAAATATTATAGTCATTGGATTTCCAATTTCTGTCAAATGTGGCTGCATTATCATCCTCTGCCAGCTCCACCTAATTTAACCTAACCCCACTTAATCCACCCTAATCCAACTCAAGCCAGCTCAAACTTACCAAGCACAATGACCACCATCTGGGTTGCCTTCTTCTCCCGAAGTGGCACTGCCCGAGGTTGCAGGGGCCCCAGCTTCAGGGACGTTGATAACCTGCCATTGCTGAGTTTTCGAACCTCTAAGCTGAGCTTGGGTGCTATGGTAGGGCTTAGGGAGTTCCGATTCCTCTCCTCCCTTTTTAACTCTCCTCCTCTTTCTTGGAAGCCTGGTCCCCCCAAGGCAGTATCTTGGCAGATGCTGTAGTAGCGCTTCAGTTCCATGTGTGCCTGGCCAGGAGAGAGAGGCTGCAGATGTGACAAGAGAGGATCCTGACATTTCTGGGGATATTGCTTATCTTCTGAGTGTTCCTGAAAGGGAAAGAGAATGCAATGAAGAAAGAGGAAACCATCAGCATGTGAAACCTACAGAAGGAGCATCTGAGAGAGTGGTGGGACCATGGAAACTTAAAGAACATGAAATCTGCTTCTGAATTTATAAATAAAAAGCACCTATCACATATAGAACTTTTAATACCGCTGCAATCCCTTGAGGAGGGCGGCATAGGATTGTAGTCTGGCTTTTTCAAGTGAGAATGACTTAGTGATACATAGGAACACATTAAGTGAAACCACTGGGATATAAGCAGCAAAGTCTGGAGTGGGAAAGTGGGAAACCCTAAAATTATAACAGCAGCAAAAACACTTACCAGTTGCAAAGTATGGGCCTTATTTGAACTTTGATTCAAATAAACCAACTGTAATAAAAAATTTAACAAGACAATTGGGGAAATTTGAACATTGGATATTTAATATTAGAGAAATATTATTAATTTTTTAAGTGTGATGTGGTATTGTGCATATGTGTTTTATAAAAAAGTCCATATCCTTTAGGGGACTTTACAGAAATATTTTCAGTTGAAATAATATGGTATTTGGGATTTGCTTCATAGCAATGCAGTGGGGTTGTGTGAACGTAGGTGGGAGTGTAGAAAAATCAGATTGGCCATGAGTTGATAATTGCTGAAGCTGGCTGGTGGTGACTAGGGGTTTGTTATATTTGTCTTTCTACTTTTTATTTTTGAAAATTTCCATAATTGAAAGTTTTAAAAAAAGAATACCCAGGATTTTCAACTCAGCTTTCCTACTTAGTAGATGTAACCTTGGGCAAGTTAATTTAATATCTCTGAGTCTCATTTGAAAAACAGAAAAGAAATAGGAAAAAGTTGGTTTGCGATGAGTAGCTTCTGAGAGTAGAAAGCTGAAGATATGTGATTTTTTTGGTATTTGGAGTAGGGGAGGATGTGCGTGTGTCCAATATGTGAACTTCTCTCCATGTTTGAGGAATCAGACCCTGGTGTTAATCTTGATTAGGACTTGACTCCCCAACTCCCATCACTGAAGCCATAAAAGCCAGCTGATAACTTCCCACCCCCACCTCAATGGAGCTAGACCTCTGGCAGATGAACCAAGCCCAGACAATTGGAGATTTACACCTCAGACTGAGCTGGAACTAGTGAAGCAGAGACTTCAGAATTCATTTACCAGTGGTGCCATTCAATGTTCAGTGTCCTAGGTCCTCTAACCAGATTATTCCATAGGCATGGACAGCACCTTCCGAAGCTGCTTTTCAGCCTTCTCATTGAATCTGTGAGCTACCTGACAGCTCTCCAGTAAATTCCTTTTCTCCACAAGTCAGTCAGTGTCAGCAACCAAAGCCCTTCACTTCTCTCTCCTTAGCTCGAGGAATCACAGTCTTCCAGATACACAGTGCTGACACGTTGTGCATGCTTAGAAACATTGTTGAATGAATGAATGAATGAATGAATGAATGCAAGGGGTCTTCAAGGTGATTTAGTGTTTTTAAAACCATGCTCCACAGAGGTATTCTTAGGAATTTAAAGAGAATATATTTTTCTTTTTTAAAAAACAATTTTTATTGAGAATTGTACATATTTATGGGGTTGATGTGATATATTGATAAATGCATAGAATGTGTAATAACCAAATCAGGATAATTGGAATTTCTATCACATCAAATATTTATCATTTCTTTGTGTTGAGGACATTTCAAATCTTCTAGTTATTTTGAGATATACAATAAATTGTTATCCATAGCCATCCTACCATGCTATCGAGCACTACAGTAGAACTCATTCCCTCTAACTGTATGTGTGTACCCATTAACCAACCTTTTTTCATTCCCCCACCCCTCCCAGCCCCTGGTAACTAGCATTCTATTCTTTACCTCTAGGAGATCAACTCTTTAGCTGCTACATATAAGTGAGGACATGTAGTATTTACCTTTTTGTGCCTGGCTTATCTTTTTTAACATAATGATCTCCAGTTAGGGAAATATGTTTTTAAAAATTTTTAGTTTTCATTGTGATGGAATTTTCTAATAATGAATATAAACATATTCTGTTTTATCTGAATGATAGCCAAGATCGTGTTTATGATTAAATTGGCACCTATTGATCTTCTAAAAGTGACAATATTTAACTTATAATGCCTTATTTCTGAAACTAGGGGACTGGGGCGTGTCTATAAAATCTCAGATTTGAGAACACTGATTTAGCACACCCTGTTTCCATCTTACAGATGTAGAAATTCAGTCCTATAGGAGGAAAGTGATTCTTCCGAGAATATATATGTGAGTGTATTTTTCTGCTTTCTCTGCAAACCCTTATCACTACCCCATGACTGCATGAGGGACCACTGGATTCCTCTAGGCCTGGCTGGCACAGCCCTCCACTCCCAGATGGCAGCACAGAACCTAATTCTCCACACTCCTGCCATTGCCAGCCTTGTGGCTCGCCAACCTCTCTTTTCCTCCTTTGGGCCTTGGGCCCTCCTCAGACCTTGCATCTGCCATAGGCAACGTTAAGGTGCTTATCTACCTTTTATCATTTACAGCAAGGGTCTCTAGCTGCTACATCAGGCCTGTGTAAAAAGTGGTTAATCAAGTAGACTGAGAGGGATTGTGGCTCAGATCTTTATCATTATGGGCTTTTGAAGTTTATTCCTAATGTGGAGTTCAGGGAGAGGAATACTGGCCTTATACCTAACACCACCAGGCTCTGTTCTGCACTCTGCTAGCTGGAGAAGGCAGGGCTGGCTTCAATTGGAAAGACAAGTGTCAAGGTGACCATGAGGTTGCCTTGGTTTTCCCCACATTCAGTGGTTAATAGGGCACTTGAAAGTCTCCTTTCTCTGCTTTTATTGGCTCTGCCCATGTGTGTTTCACTGACATCCTGTTCCCTCCAGTGCAGGTGGCTCTGGATGGCACTTTCACACCACATCCCAGAGTCACTGGCACCGGTCATTGAGTTCTAGCCCAACAGTCAAATGCGTTCTCAGTACCGCTTGATGAATTCTATGCTGAAGCTGAAAAAAGGCAGAATCTCAGATCCTGTCATATATCATAGATACATGTACAGGAATCAGGGCTAGACTCCATTTTTGGGTGGGAGTGGAATTGAGACAAGCCGACATTGTGGGAAAAGGGCTCTTATTCTTTTCCTGTGATCAGAGACATGATCCACTTACCATTTTTCCTGTGGCATCCGATGGAAATCTGGCCCTTATTGAAAACTGCTGCATGGGGTGCAGCCGCAGACAGGAAGACTAGGGGAGGTTGAGGGAAAAACAGTCAGTTACGGATTAAGCTCTACATTGCTGAGCCACGTCATATGTGGCCATGTAGCACGACAGTGCTTTGAGTGCAGTGTGTTCATGTCCTCAGCCTTGGGTTCCGACTGTCTATCTCATGGGGACCAGTAGTCTTGTTCTACCCAAGCCTTGGGGCTTCAACTTTGAGAGTCCGACCTTCGTTCAGGTCATTAGAGATTGATCTAGACACCCAAGTTGGATCTGCCTTCAAGATCAAATTCATTTCTTACTCTATGAAGCCCTTTCCTGAGCATATTGTTTTTTTCTCTTCTTATAACCTTGACAGCACTTCATATGAGGGTGCTTAGTTTTCTTTACCTCACATTCGGCAAACAACCCATTCAGTTCTGGGCTGTTCATTAACTTTAGGTAGGGGAGTGCTGCATTTGCTTGTCTACAGTCTAAACTCCATGAAGGCAGAGGCTGTATAATATTCCCAATGTTCTTTCCCTAGTAGACTGCAAGTGATCAGTATTCATCCATTCGTGCTTCAAGTACGTTGTGGGCAAACTATAACACTATGTGCCAGGCACTGGGGTAAGCAGAATTGAAAGCCAAAGCAATTGACAGATCATTGCAGAAGCAACTACCTTCCTTTTCAGAAGCTAGAAAGACCCAATAAAGTGACCGTCCCATCCTAAAGCTGGTCAGTGCCTTGACACAGGGGCAGATCTAGTAAGGACAAAGGATTTTGGAGGATCACAATGATTCTTGGAATGAGTGATTTGAACAAAAAGTCAGTTCTGGGAACCAGAAATGCAAGGTACAACTGCCGCACAAAACCTCAGACCCTGTGGGACATTTGAACTTCTGGCCACTGGGGGGAAATGAGAGACTTTGAAGGAAAGAATAACGAGCCCAGAAACTGTCCTATCATTTTGACAAGTAAGGTGAGCTCTAGGGACGGCTATCAGTGCATGTTGAGATTGACTTTCCTACCTTCAAAGCACAGCCAGTACCAGCAGATTAAAAGGTAGGTGTCAGATCTGAGTCTCCAGTGCAGCAGAATGGGCACAACCGTGCACTGCTGGACACAGGCTGGGAGGTCAGGGGTTGGGTGCTGTCTGTCCACTGCCCCCTCCAGGGTGCTTACTTGTTGAGGGAAGCCGGGCCTGACACTGATGCACTGACTGTTCTGTCGAGTCAGGATCCGTTTCCGTCTCCTTTGTCTCAACACCACATAGATCCTGGCATAGACAAGGACAGTTACTCCGAAGGGCAAGTAGAAGGACACCACTGAAGAGTAGATGACAAAATCAGGGTTGGAGATGGAGCAGACGCTGGGGTCCCCTGTGGGTCAGAGAAGGGGAGAAGGTGAAGCCATTTGCGGGTATTAGAGCTCAGCAGGAAGCACAAAGTATGGCCCCATATCACACATGTGTCCCCGCCTCCTGGCGGACATGCGGGTGCAACATTAGCTATGCCGTCAGCTCCTTGAGGGCAGGAGGTCCAATTCACCTTTGTGTTTCTCACAGCTTACTTAGAAAGAAAATATGCCAACGATTATATGCCAGACGCCGCTCTGCACTGGGGCTGCAAAGATGAATAAGACACCGTGTCTGCTCTTGAAGGAGCAAAGAGTCCAGATAGATGATGATCCTTTCCATATGTTGTGATGTCACCCAGAGGAATGCAGCCTGTAGGCTGCGGGAATGTCATGTCACAGAGCAACAGGGCAGAGGCTCCCTGGAGGGATGCAGCCCCCAGAAAAGGCCCTGCTGGTGTGGAAGCATGAAAGGATTGTTCAAATGCAGCCTCCTTTGGCTTCCTTGTTTCATTGCATTCCAACAATCCTTTTGCTGAGAATTCCAGGTCTTCAGTTTTGAATGTGGGATGCAGGGCCGGCGGTGGCTGAATACAGGACAGGCATTTGGTTTTTCAGGGAATCCTCAGCACTGGCTAGGGGTGGGGTTGGAAAAGGCCGGTAAGGATATAGTCACTATGGAGAATATGAATTCAGAAGTGTCGCTGTCCCTGCTTTATGTCCTGAAATTTTGCTGCCACTCCTCCTTAGGAGGTCCCTATAGCTTTACCTTCTTCATTTGCAGATGTTGAGATTCCTCCAATGTCCAGGATAGGGCCTGAAACTTCCCCTATCTTGAAAGAGAAAAGGGAAGCAAACCAATATCTGCCAAGTCGTGCCAAGGGCTTTGCATACATTTTCTTACTTAATCATTATGGCAACGTCATGTGAGAGAGATCCCATTACTGTCTCTATTCTCAGATGAGCAGACTAACGCTCAGAGAGCATCAGTAAGTGGTCCAAGGCTGGACAGCTTGAAAGATACATTAATCAAGCCAGTCTGACCCCACAACCAATGTTTTTTCTGTAATTTTGACTTTCCCACTCCCTCTACCATGGTGACATGCCATATTTGTGCTTTGTCCATCATTGTCAGCAACAACTGTTGGCACACCCTGTCAATCTTCATAAAGCACTGAGGATTCTCCAATCCAAAATCTGGCCTTAGAAAATAAAGCCTCGGGTGTGAGCTCATGGGGAGAGGGCCGTGGCTACCTGGGCCCCTCATTCTGCCTCTTGGTCTTCTGAGGTTGGTAGCAGCCAGGCAGCCCTAGGTGTGAGACCCAGATATGCCATTTATTAACAGTGTGGTTTTGGGAATGTTACTTAACCATGCCAAGCCTCAGCTTCATTACCTGTAAACAAATGATAGAAATATTGTCTTGTATAGTGGTTGTGAGAATTAGTGAGAATAAATGGTAGCTATTATAATTTATTTACTATTATTATTTATTATTTACCTCCCTGGATTTTTTTTTAAACTTAAAAGGGAGGGTATCATTTGGAGTAGAAATTTGGGATGAGACTTGCAGTGAACAATATTTGTAGGGGAGGGAAGGGAGCAACAGCTAAGAACTAGAATGGAGACAAAGAGTGCTCAGCGAGGCAAGTTAATGACAACACTGCCACCAGAATCTTTACACGCTACTCCCCCAAATTCTCTGGTTTTCTGGGGAGGGGGTAAGATTCATGTCATCTTACCAGAGCCTGTGTCATGATCCTTTAGGAAATGGATCATGAGACTCTAAGTAATGATCACAAATTGGTGTCTTCTGGAACTCTGGGGCAGTAGGGCTGGGGGAGGGGTGGGGTGGTAGCTGGTGGTCTTTCTGAATGTCTAGGGAGCCAGGTGAGCAGTGATCAGGCCCTCCCCTCAAATCAGCTCCCCTGTTGTCAGCATCTGACCATGATTCAGATGCCTCCCATACTGAGGTGGAGTCTCAGCACGTTTCCTATGAGCAGAGGCCAGCAGGGTGGCAGGGCTACGTTCCCACCATCCATCTCATTGCCACTCTTGGTGAACCCCACCCTCTTCTGGGTTCTTGGAGCCTGACCTCCTAATTTTATATAGGAACTACCTCTTTTAAAAGGCCAGAGTCAGGAGTGGGCATAGTCTGCTTGTATTTGTGTAGAAATGGAAACAGGTACACACATATGTGCATGTATGTATGTGCGCATGTGCTTGCTTGTTTCAAGCATTGTCTTTGAAGAACATTAGTGTTTACTTCTAGGGAGGGGGTTAGGGGACTAGAAATCAGGGGTAGGAGGGAGACCTACAAATAAATACGTATGTGTCTCATTACACCTTATGAAAGTTTTATCATGTGCAAGTATTTCTTTTTCTACTAAAAATGTTGAAAGTGTATGTATGAGAGAGAGAAGAGAGGGCATATAGCTATTTCAGGGTCCCTGATCAATAAAGGCCCTCCCGTTAATCACTGAACTTGTACTGTCATCCTTTCCTTCCTCCCCTATTTAAGCAAACCGCTGCCCTTCCTTAGATGGAGTTTTGCTGTCTTTCCCAGAATTTCCCGATGCTATTTGATCTTGTGACTGCACAGGAGGCAGAGTGACACTTGAGGCAGTGGCCAGTGAGTGGGGCCTGGCCTGGGTGTGTGTCCTGTGGGCAGGGCAGAGGGATGCACCACGCAGCAGCCCTTCTGAAAGCTGCTCTGCTGAGAGCTGAGAAGAGGCGGTGGGGACAGTGAGGCCCCCAGAAGCTGAGGCTTCCCTAGGAGACGAGGTACCTTGCTGAGATGATTTAACCAAAATAGTACTGTGCTGTTAGCACCACAGTTGTTCAGTGACTACGTCAATGATGAATAAATAAGGAAAATGTACAAATGAGCATTTTATGTAAGCACAGAAGCACTCGCTGGCTCACTGGCTGGAGGCTACTGGGGAAAGCTGGTTGGGGGTGGGGAGGTTACTCTTAATTTTCTGAGATTAGAGATGCTTATCCCAACTAATCTCAATTTTTAAGGAGGAAAGGATGATAATGAAGATTCAATTCATTACTTATTCTAGAAACCTTTACAGAGCACCTCCTACATTCAAAGCACTGTGCTGGGTGATGAAAACACTAAATAGTTCTACTGAGGGGTCCAAGAGGGTTTTGGGGGTTATCTTGGGAGACTGAGTCCCATGACGATGTGAATAGCATGGCCAAAGCAGGTTTAATTGAAAGATTCATGAACTTCAAACTCGTTGAAAGATTTGACTTCAACTTGATTCCAAAGGCAGGAGATGCTGATGAATCTGATTTTAGGGTGAATCGATTATTCTTTTAACTTTGTGCTCCTATTATCCTTTTAACTTTTTGAGTAACCAAGCTCCCGGCCTCCAGTGCTCCGACAGCCAGGTGAGGTGTTCTATTGTTAAAAATCAAACAAATAGCACTTCTCGATTTTCTTTTATCAAAGGAAAATCAAGCCAGCTGATAGGATTTTCTTAACTTTAACTTTTTTCTTTTGAAGGTGTCTTTGCCACCAGCTTATTCATTCTAGAATTTTTTATAACACAATAGCTATCTGATTTAGCAGAAATTTAAATACTAGTTATTTTTCTTATCTGTGAAATGAAAGGATCGGTCTACTTATTCAGGGATCTTTAGGGTGTCCTCTAGCACCCACACACCATGCTCTGCTGTCATTAAGGGCTGTTGATGATGTGATATTTGGCCAGACCGCTGGGCCTCTGCTGGGAGCAGGGGCAGCCCTGGGACTCTCTGACCTAAGACCCTCCCTTATGTTGCCCTTTTCTCAGAGAACAGGGGCAACTCCAAGTTGGAAGAGACTGAACATTTCTCTATCTTATGTTCTCTAATAATTCACAATCACACGTGGCAGCCCATGACATCAAAAGAAGAGCTGGGCCAGGAAGTTCTTTTTTTGTGTTGTATGTCTTAGTGGAAGTCTAGCTGCTTCTAATATCAGGTGTTATTGGCAGTCTCCTGCAACTTCCCACAAAAGTAGAAAAAATGACTGAGAGAAGTAATTCATATTGGGCTTTTGCATGAACTTAGGAAGTTCCTTATTGATGGGAGAGTTGCTGGAGGAACCCACATCTATCAAGACAATGAAGCTGTATCATGAAGGTCAGATTGAGGCAGAGGAGGATAGCTGGGCTTCCCTGTCTTGAGTTCCATTCACTAATTCCCTGAATTGTATTTTAGGAAGAGGTGACAGGTCTCCTGTACGACCATCAGTAGAATTACTACTGTTCAGATCTTCTATGGAGCAGACGTGTTGTTCAATTTTGAGGCACAGAAAACATCTCTAATAAATAATAACAACAACAACACCAGCTAGTATCTGTGGGGCTCTAATGATGGAATCTGACACTTTGACACAATATATGGATAATTGGAGGGCTTACTACTGTGCTATTAAAAAACTTCAAAGTAAAAGAGAGATTGTGAGAGATGAGAGAGAAGCGAGAGCTCACATGCTTAGTCACAGGCCTTTTTTTTTTTTTTTAACCTTCTCAATACTGTATTTGAAAATCCTTTTGGAAAGATTTTCCTGAGTTTTGTTTTTGGAACAATAATGATCTCACTGGCGGCAAAAACACTGCTCATCATTCTTCTTCACTTTAGTTGTTGACATTAACTGGGAACTCTGTCTAGTGTCAGATTTTGAGACTGTTTCAACTATTTCCAAGGCATGTGTGTCTGTGAGAGTGAGACACCCCTACCAAGAATGAGTAACAGGAACCATACTCAGCCCAGTAGGCACTGAGTGTGGGGATTGGCCGCAGGCTGGGAGGTAAGCAGTGCCTTGGTGTCTAGTAGTGGTAGAGGGTTTCCCACACTACAAATTCCAGCAAAGAATATATTTTATTATAGAAACAAAGTTACAGAAGGTGACTTAGTTATCAGGCTAACCCATAAAGCATATTTAACATTCATCAAAAAGAGCATTTTAGTGTCACTGGGTCAACCTTTATAACCATGGTGGGGGATGTTGCTTTGTGATGTGCAAAGTGTGTATGTGTACGTGTGACAAGTGCATAAAGTGTCATTCAGTTAAAATAACAAAGAAACGAATGGTAAACAGTAATGCGAAGATAATAGATAACATCATATTTAAGGAACACCCTGGCTTAACCAGGCAAATATTTGTGGATAATTTGGCTGGTTAGATTTAATGTGTCAGAGAAACAAGCCTGACCTTGAGTAGGTGGTATGTGCTTGGCATGTTTACATATGTTATCCCAATTTATTCCTCATTTAATTGTGAAAAAGTCTCTATGAAGGAGATAGAGTTATATCATATGTAGAATTAGATTCTAAAGTCAATGAATAAAGTGAAAATTATATAGACCCAAAATTTGCTTTGAAAATCTCCTGAATTATATGTAAAGATATACATGGTCTTATTATTATAAGCCTGAACAGTAATAAGATTATAGTATACATAGTAATATCATATATTATAGAATTCCTATGGAATATGTAATTTTAGAGATAAAGTTCCTGGACTTATTTGCAGGGGGCCATATATAAAATAAATATTGAAAACTTCCTATTATAACTATATATAGACTGAATCTACATATTTGAATTTGCTCAAGTTTATGCTCCACTGTATTATTATCCCAAATTTACCAACAAGGAAACCGAACTCACAAAAGTTAAGTAACCTGTTCAAGGAGACAAAGCTGTTAAGTAGTAGAAATTTAAAACTTGAATTTTGAGTTTTAAGCTAGGTTTTTCTGACTCCAGAGTTTTTTTCTGTCTTCCCAAATCATTGTCCAGCAAATGACACTTGGAAGATTACTTATAAGTTAGGATTCACCTGTATTCACATGTAATGTGCATACATATAAGCACATGGCTATGTGACTAGTACATATATACCAGAAATTCACAAACCTAGAACATAAGAATTAAATGAACCAATCCAAGATTACAAAATAATGAATCCAGATGAATACTAGAACACTAGTCAATCAAATACTAGAACACTAGTTAATCAGTTTTCTCTTAGCAAACACTCAGGTATGGGTGTTTGGGTACTGTCAATACCCATCACGTTACTATGTGTGTTAATAGCTTTCATTCAACACATGAAATTCCTGAGGCTGAAAGATGGACGTGGTGCAGCCACAGAGGGCATTGATCCATATGAGGTGTAAATTTGGGTTGGTGTCATTTGCTTAAAATTCCAAACATCTCAGATGTACACATTGTTCATCCATCCATCCATTTGTCCATCTCTCTAGGAGATGTATCATGTACCACACATCATAGCCAGATTTTTTGTCTATTCAAAATAAAAAAATACACCTCTCATAATTTGAGAATCTATACCAGTTCCCAAGTGTTAGGAATTATTCTTATTGAGTAAAAACCCAGAAATATATATCCTACAACAGGACTTTTATGATATATTATTTTGCATTGTAGGTCTGTTACAAATTATCTTTTCATTAGCAAACCTCACTTGAATTATTAATATAGCTTGGTTTTTTTAAACTGGCACATTCTTCAAATGAGTACAATGACATTTATTTCAAAATAGAGATGAGCCAGACTTTTCACGAATTAGGGCAGAACTTTACCCCTGTGCCAATAATTGACGAGGTTTCGCTTTATATTTTATTTATAACCAACAAAGGTCAAAGCTCTGCAGTCTGGGGCATTCTCATTTGATTACCAAGTACACTGACCCAGGGTCAGGAATTTCAGGGTTGAGCACCACTCATAGCCGCTCAGGTGTGCTGTGAAGCACTTGGGTGCTGGGAGTGAAGCCATCCATGTTACCTGTGGTGTTGAGGCCAAAGAGGAGAGGGCAGGACACGGCAAAGGCCAGCACCCAGACGGCCGTAATCATGAGGGCCACTCGCCGACAGGAGCTCCGTCCTGTGCCATGCTGGTAGTGCACTGGCATGACCACCGCGGTGTACCTGTAGAAGGAAGGGGAAGGGAGGATAGCATGCTGAGACGGGATGGGGAACTGTTCAAAAGACAAGTTGAAAGAAGTTGCTAGAGAAATAATCACATTGATACATGTGGCTGGAGAAGAATAATTTAGTTGGAGAAAGAGAGAAAAGAGTGTTTGAGGGAAAATAGTAGAAAGGTTTAGATAAGACAGGGGAACTCATTGAGGAAGATGAGCAGAGAAAGGGAAGAATAAAAAAGTTAACACAGCAAGACTGCGTTGGGAGAACTTCTTTACCAGGCCTGCGTGATCGCCCAGGATACCAGCCTTGCAGCCACACACCCTCCACTCGGAAGACTCCGGACCCTACTCTGGATAGAGATGAGCAAAAGGGGAATTGTCCCTGTCCTCATTAAGCTTGGAGTTGAGAGGAGTGGATGAACAATAAAAAAGAAAACAAATATGTTAGTATAAAATGAAGAGTGGAGGGTATGCCTTTACTTTCTCCCCAAGTTTTTCAGACAGTGCTAGACCTGTGTCCAAAGTGGATGTTTACTCTCTGCTCGTTTCCTTATATAAATTCTAACCCTCATAGCAACAGCTCCTGCAAGTAGTAGAGGTTTCAAAAACAAGGCCGGGCGCGGTGGCTCACGCCTGTAATCCTAGCTATCTGGGAGGCCGAGGCGGGCGGATTGCTCGAGGTCAGGAGTTCGAAACCAGCCTGAGCAAGAGTGAGACCCCGTCTCTACTATAAATAGAAAGAAATTAATTGGCCAACTAATATATACAAAAAATTAGCCGGGCATGGTGGCGAATGCCTGTAGTCCCAGCTACTTGGGAGGCTGAGGCAGAAGGATCACTCGAGCCCAGGAGTTTGAGGTTGCTGTGAGCTAGGATGACGCCACGGCACTCACTCTAGCCTGGGCAACAAAGCGAGACTCTGTCTCAAAAAAAACAAAACAAAACAAAAAAAACCCCCCAAAAAACAGAGATGAGTAATAACCAGTAGAGGCTTATTTTAAAATCCAGTTTTCATGCTTTTACATGATCAAAGCCCAACTCCTTATTCTTGTTGGACATTGTTGTATTTTCTGTGGCATCTCCTCACACATATTTCCACCTGCGTGTAGGACTTACCTGAACAATTGTTCCACAGTCATCTCAAACTCAAGGTGTCTAAAACAGATCTCCCCAGCTCCCCATACCTCTTAGTCTGGTTCCATTTTCTGCCTGTCTTTAAGACATCCCAAACCAGTACTCAGAACTTTGGACTCTCTCTTGATCCTTTCATATCAGTTGCTCACTCATTCATTTAACCTTTCATTCAATATTTATTGAGTCTCTCTCTCTCTCTCTCTCTCTCTATATATATATATATATATATGCCATATATATATTCCAGACCCTATGCTGTCTGGTTAGAGATGTGCAAAAGGGGCATCGTCCCTGTCCTCATTGAACTTGGAGTTGAGAGGAGTGGATGAACAATAAAAAAGAAAACAAATATGATAGCATAAAATGAAGAGTGTCATGAAAGAAAGAAGCTGGATGATGTGTTAGAGAACAAGGGAGGAGGCAAAGAGGGGTCAAACCAACACAGAGTGGACAGGAGGTGAGTGTATGACAGGGGCCACCATGAGGTGAGAAGGGAGAAGAACATTCCAGGCAGAAAGATCACACGTCCTGGAAACTTACCCAGTATGCTATCTTCCCCACTGACCCACCCATGCCTTTCCTACTACCTGATTTCTGTGATGGCTGCAGTCTCCTAGCTGGTCTCTAGCTGCCAGCTCCAAAAATAGATTTTATCATGCCTCCCCACCTTCCCAGCTGAAAACTGTCTAAGATAGAAAGAATTCTAAGATTTCTTCCCTGTATAATCAGCCAGGGCAGAACCTGTGGATATGATGTAATAGCATTCTTATGATTGGATTACCTACCAGCTGACCTTGAGTTAATCAAAAGGGAGATTATCCTAGGTGGGCCTGACCTAATCAGGTGAGTCCTTTAAAAGGGACTGGTTATTTCTGAATTCAGAGGTTCAAAGCATGAGAAATTTCCTGCTGGCTTTGAAGGAGCAAACTGCCATGTTTTGGAAAGGGTCATTTGGCAGGGATAGCAAAAGGCCTACAGGAGCCGAGAACTGCCCTGGCTGACAGCCAGCAAGGCAGTGGGGACCTCAGTCCTACAACTGCAAGGCACTGAATTCTACCAACAACCTGAATGAGTTGTTGAAGAGGACCCCAGGCTCCAGATGAGAACACAGCACAGCCTACATCTTGCTTTTAGCCGCCTTGTGAGACTCTGAGTAGAGAACCTACTTACACTGTGCACAGAGTAGAAGTCAGAACTTCCAGAAACTGTAAGATAAAAAAATATATAGGTATATTTTAAGCCTCTAAATGTGTGGTAATTGTTCCATAGCTATAGAAAATGAATATACTTTCAATGACTCTTCTTTCATCCATAGGCCAAGCTTAATCTTCCTTGCCAACCTGACTTCCCATTAGTTCCTGACACTTATAGCTCCAGCCAAACTGGATCTACATATGACTGGTGATGGGTATTCCTTCAATATTCAGAGACTGGGGGTGTCTTTGTTCAAACCATCATTCCGTCTCCCTCCCTGGGTAATTCAATCTCACCCTTCCTTAACCCCAGATTACCTCTCCAGCAATCTTCCCAGTCCTTTCCATTTTACAAAGATCTCTGACTCTGAATGCATAACACGTCTATGCGAATCGATTATATTGTCTTCCTGCATACAGTTGTCTTGCCTCATTACTGAATTTGGCTCATGGCTGGAGAGAGATAGCCCTCACGTTACTTGATGGCTCAAATCATCTTATAGCTTTGGTAATCCTGAGGTCCTTGCACAAGGTGAGGAGTAAGAAGCTGTTGACTGATTGCTTCACGGGTCATGAAGCCCGCCTTCCCTGTAAGAGGACAGTTTTAATTGTAGACAGTCTCAAGGGATCTAAGGTATATAGCTGGATCTACATATGGCTCAATATTTTTTCCCTTCTCAGTTTTAGTGAACCTAAAGGCCAGATTAGAGCAGGGCCCTCCTTCAGCTGTCTTGTGCACCTCGAGACTTGGGCTGAGGAAGGGAAGGACAGATGCTGGCCTAGAGGGTGTGGGGCACTGCTCCCTGATGCTCTTCCTGGGTGTGTCCAGCTCCTATGTGCTGGAACTGCCCGAATCTGCCTCTCATGCATCTGTTTTTAGGGTGTTAACCTTTGTATTCCCAAAGAGCAGCTTAAAGTCAGCTGTGAGTTCTGAGATGAAGGTAACTCTGCAGGACTTTGCCTTGACACATGAAGCTACAAAGGTAGCTTCTTTCTCAAGAGCGAGAAGTAGAAGTCCTGAGCCCTGACTCCTTGCTTTTAGTGGTGACCTGGAGGGACCTTGGACGAGGGGCTAAGACCTGAGTCCTGCTGCTGCTACAGTTAGTTGAGGGTAGGAGTAGGAAACCTGTGACCCACTTCCTCCTGCCCAGACCTGCAGTTGGGCCAAGATCTTCCATTTGCATAATGTCCTTTGATGTAAAAGAGCCTGACTCCCCCATGCACTCACTGGTGTGCTGGTAAATGGCTAACAAGTGGCTCTCCAGGTGGAAAAAGCCCTAATTTGTAACATTTGCCAATTTCCGTGGTATAATTACTCCCACTGATGGCCATTTTAAGCTACCACCAAAGCTTTAATAACTGGTTCGAAAAAATTCCTTAAATTTTGCCAATCAGATCATGCTAGCCCCATTGTAAGCTGGTTTCACACACCACTGGGAGTCGCATACTTTCCCAAACATGCTTTAATGTTGAGCCACTCCTTGAAGGCTCCATTAATTCAATGAGTCTGTGAGTGCAGGGAACTCTGGCTCCGTTTTATCAAGGAGGAATCAGAGACACAGGCTAACAACGAACAAGGTCTCACAGCAGACTGTGGCAGAGCCAGGTCACCCACCTCTGGGGCTGCTGTCTCTTCTGAATGCCCCGCTCCTTCTCAAGGGCATCAACAAGTCTCTGAGGCCTTGTGGGGGATAAGGGCTTCCTCAGAAAAGTTGGCTCAGAAAGGGTGGTTTGTACTTGGAGAGCTCTGTGGGTACCCAGAACTGAGTTTTCCCAGTGAGTTTGATTCTGCTAGTTGCCGGGTATGGGAGGGGTGTGTGTGTTAAGATGCAGATTCCCAGGCCACGTCCCTGGAGATTTTGATTATGTGCTTCTGAAGTGGAACCCAGAAATATGTATTTTTAACAAGTAAGTGCATCATACAGTTAGGCAGGTTTGAGAAAGTCTGCATTAGGGAAAATTTCTGTGACAAAGATTCTTGTTAACCTGGGCTTGAAGTGAGAGTCAAGACTACCATTTGCCCCTGTTACATTAAATGTTTTTCTAATTCTGTTTAAAACACGATTAAACTATTAGAATAAGCGAGGCCCCCAGCTTGCCATGGGTGACTGAGACAGCGCGGCTGTTCCGGAATTAGCCATCGGAGGGCACCATAATGCAGCAAGAACTCGGCCAGCTCCGCCGGGGTGAGAAGTTCATCGCTCACCTGGGGGCTCTCCAGGCTCGGTGGGGAAGTGGAGAGGGAAAGCCGGGCCTCCCCTGTTCTTGGAGCCCTGCAGGGACCCTGAATTCCCACCCAGGCGGACTGCTTAGCCTCGAGTTTTCTCTAGGAGCGCTTGCAGATGACCCACTGCAGGCGAGGGCCGGGCCAAAGCACCCGGAGGGCGGGCCGGGCTGGGCATGGACGGAGAGGGAGGCTTGTCCGGAGGCCTCTGGATGCTACCCGCTGCCCTGGGGGTTCTCTAGGGCCAGCCACACACTGTAGGAGCCGTGGCGTCGCCCCTCGGCCAGGCGCCCCTCACCATGCGTTTGAGCTCCTGGCTCTCTGGGCCCTTTCTGGTGTGGATTGCTGCACTTGCCCGAACACTGGCCACTGTGCGTGGCCGTTAAGTCCCTGGGCCTGAGAAACGGACTGAGAAGCGTCCACATCCCAGCTCTGCCACTTAAATGTGGGGCC